ATAAACAAAAGTAATATAGCAAAAACTGGTCAAAATAAAAAGTTTCTCTTATTTCTTCCACCACTGTATATGCATAAATAAATATTTATATAAATTATTTTTCACATTCTTTTTTTATTTAATTTCATTAAATTCTACCCAAAAAAGAATGCAATTAAATTAAATTAAAATAATTTGATGGAGTTATAATGATGTGAAAAGAAATAGGGACGCGACATTTCGACCACTTTTGACTAATTTCTTGATTTCTTTCTTTGTTTAATGTTTATTATTTCTTTTTAATCTGATCTTGAATTTAATGGGCTATAAAACCATATACTTCGATTTTTTCTAAAAAATTTGACTAAATACTTTGTTGTCAAATTTTGTTGCATTTTTCTAAAAAGTTTTAAATTTAGTTTTTGTTAGATAATGAGCTCAGTTTAAAAAGTAATAATAAACATTAAACAAAAAAAAAGAAACTAGTCAAAGGTGGTCAGAATATCGCGTCCCTATTACTTTTCACATCACTATAACTTCATCAAATTATTTTAATTTAATTTCATGCATTCTTTTTATTATATTTTAATTCAGTCTTATTTTATTTCGAATCAGTTCTTTTTATTGAATTTCTATTAAATCCTCTTCTATTTTTGTTTCATTCCATTTAACTTTTAAGTTTTTTAGTTATTTATTTACATGCTTGCCTTTTTTTCATTTACTTATTTTTTGTTTGTTAATGAATTTATTTATTTACTTGTTTCATTCTATTCTTATTACATTTACTTTTATTTTATTTTATTCTATTTGATTTTCTTTGATTATATTTTATCAAAGTTCTTCATTTATTTGTTTATTTTATTTTATGGAACTTAACTGAAGCTCATTATATAATATTTATTTATTTATTTTATATTATTATTTCATTTTATTTTATTTTATATTATTAAATTTAATTTAAGCTCATTTGATCATGATTATTTATTTATTTTATTTTATTCGATTTGATTTTATTTCATTTTTATTTGTATTTATTTATTTAATTTAAATTTATTTAGTATTTAGTTATTCAACTTGTTTATTTCTATTTTATTTTATTTTTTATTTTATTTGTCTTTAGTTCTACATCTAATCTTAGAATTTCCAGTTTCATTTCTGCTTCCTTTAATTCAAGTTCATTCTTCTTTTTGGCCCATGTATGTCGCTCAGCAGCTCTTTAATTTTCTTCCATCCAGAAGATTTGGTGTGCATCAGAAGTTTCTTTTTTCTTTTCGCGCTTTGTCGCTAGTTTTTCGTTGGGTTTTGAACGTAGCAGAGTTGGGTTCCAAGAACTCCAATCTGCTCTGGCATCCTAAAGAAATACTTATTTATAGAGGAAAATCTATAATTTTGAAATACACAGGCAGGTTCTGCAATTCACTTCCGAGTGAATTTCAACAAAATGCGCTTTGAATTCAAATTGGCAGGGGTTTAAATTCACTCGGAAGTGAATTGCAGAACCTGCCTGATTATATAATTTACGTGTTCTTTAGCTTCTGATGCCGCGTCCAGATGTTCTACCGTACAGCTCTGCATAGATTCGTCCAAGTACTCAGGCTCTTGTTCATAAGTGACTATTGCTGAAATATTGTAAAATTCAAGTATCAGTAACTACTATTGCATGTAAATAAAAGCGAAATCTTACCATCGCTGTCTACGTAATTTTCCAAGCCGGTTGCAGATTGGCCCATGAGCGTAGCTAGCCTGCCCGTATTTTTGTCCGGTCGGTGTTGAAACTGGCCCCCACCAGTCTTATATAGCTCCCTCTTTTCTTCGGCTAAATTCTTCCTGGTTCTCTTCTTCATATTCTCGTACTTCTCCCGCAAATTTTTAGGACCGCGCCTGATACCAGTTTGGGACTCAAACTTAAGGTCAATTTCTTCCCACGCTTTTCGCTTCTCTTCCCACGAAACTGCGTCGCTTCTTTTATTTTCTATTTTATTGGCGTACCGCTCGACCAATGTGATAAGAAGGGGCTCATCGCCGCTTGTAAAATTTTGCAAACGATTTCTCTTTTTGTCATCCATTATCTTCTATATAAATCTTAAAAGTCCACACTTATCACAAAAACCAATTTATTTTTACAACGGCACGTCAAAAATGTAAACAAAACACAGCTGGTTTGCCCATTTATGAGCATTCACAATGGGTTTTTGTGAATTGTTCTACAAAATATTCACAATTATCGAATTAACTGGAGGTCGGCTAATCTGAGCTTGGTGAAAACGAGAATGTCAAATCAAGGTACCTGGAGATTAGCTATCCTCTAGTTAAATGCTAACTTAACTGGAGATGGTGCAAACGGCCCTAAATCATTAAGTTTCGTGATTTTTTGTTACAAATTCGGGTAAAATAAAATATGCTGAACATCGAGATATTAATATGTACTAATTTCGTGCATTTGTTAATGTGATTTCAGTACTAAAAAAGTTGTGCTAAATGAAAACGTTTTTTGCAAATAACTTTTGAACGGTGTAAAAAAATAAGATCCGCCTTCGGATTCTTAATACTGGGCATGAATTGCGTATTACGACAACCGTCTGAACGATATCGTGTCGAGATTGTGTTGCTTCATGAAAACAAAAATTGTTTGATCGTTTGTGCGATAGCGCCAACTCGATTCCAGTTATGCTTCACGTAGCAGTAATAGTAACATGTAACAGCAACATAAATGCATAAATCAGTGTTTTTACGAGGTCGTTTTGTCAGTATCGTTTGAACGACTATCGTTTCAAATTTACGTGATTCATGCTATGGCAGTAATACAATACAATTTTCGGTGGGGACCATGAACTGCACCATAACCATTTTCGAGCACTCAGAGCACCGGAGGTTCGTAACTTCAGCGACCTGTGTTTAAAAAGAAACGAGATGTACATCGTATATAAGGGTAGGTGCAGAAGGCGCAGCAGTTGAGCGCAACCGTTGCTAAAAAAATCAGTGATCGTAATGCGTCTTCTGAACGGCTTGATACATTAGCTGTCAAATTCAACAACACACAACATGTTGTCTCAAATGATCAGGCATGAATCACGTAAATTTGAAACGATTGTCGTTCAAACGGTACTGAAAAAACGACCTCGTAAAAACACTGATTTATGCATTTAAGTTGCTGTTACATGTTACTATTACTGTTACGTGAAGCATAACTGGAATCGAGTTGACGATATCGCACAAACGATCAAACAATTTTTGTTTTCATGAAGCAACTCAATCTCGACACGATATCGTTCAGACGATTGTCGTCATAGGCAATTCATGCCAAGGCGAATTTATATAAGGTGGTGTTGCTAGAACAGCTGCTTTAATTCGCCTCGGTACACATATGTCAAAACTCCTTATGAGTGAATGCGAAAGAAAGAGTGTTGGCATTTTCTTTCCCTCTTCCTCCTTGAGCGAAGAATATCTGGAATTTGACATTTGTGTACCGAAAACGAAAACAAAAGACATGTTAGTTTTTGTTTCTGTACTACCGCTACCACCTTATATGAATTCGCCTTGATTCATGCCCAGAAAAATATTACGATCATTTAACAAGCAACTGTTCAGTTGATCAGAAGTACAAAACAACGCGTTCAGAAGGTGCAATCGCAAGTTACTGAGCTATTGCGCCTTCTGAACGTGCCCAAAGACTTGTGTTTGAAATTTGACGCCGCCAAGGGAATGTCAATGGCCGGCTGATTTATCGACTTTTTCATATTTGCGATTAGTTTTGCGGATTTCCAGTGCAGAAAATATTTGTATTGTATTTGGGTTTGGTGTTAAATTGAAGGAAACAATAATATGTTGGATTTTCTTATCGCACACTGAATACTGTTGAATTAATATGCGTTATTTCCAAGTTAAACAATGGATTGGTTTGTTGTGTGAGCAGGAAAGTTAGGATGAGGCGATGTATAACTCGCCTGTAAAATGGTATACATATGCATACACTTGGAGGAATCGATAAAGTGTAATCCAATTGCCTATAAAAATGTGTAATTAACTTTGTTGAATTGGTGCGAAGTGAAGGTGAAAATAGCAATAACGTGATTTGCGGTAGAACTGAACGGAATATTACAAAATGGTTTCGAAAATAGCATCTTATATGTTTCTTATTTTGGCATCTTATACGAGTAAGTTTGTTTTTGGTAGTGAATAGTATATAAAGTTAACACAAAAATCAAATCATACATACATACATGATAAAAACATAGCAAGGTAGAACCGTTCTCTCAATTTGTCGGCCATGATTTTTTTTTGAAGTTTGCCAACATTTTAAACTCATATAAAAGTGAAAATAAAAAATAGAAATTGTTCGAAATTGTTGTTGCTTGAGATTGAAAACTGAAAATGTGTGTGTGAGTTTGTGAGTAAATTTAAAAATTAAATTGTTTGGAAATGTCAAGAATTTTAAAAGTGACTCTCAGCGGTTCTACCTTACTATATTTTTATCATGCATACATATCTGTTTGATATGGGCGGTTACGTGGGTACTCTTTATGAATTTGTACAACGATTTTGGGTTGCTGTGCCCAAACGCGTGAATCGAATCAAAAAACTTTTACACACACTTGTAGACAACAGTTCACGCTTTATTACAAAAATTTAATTTACTAAATCTGTGCACTAATTTAACAATAATGTCGGTTGGAAATATGGTATTTGTTGCAAATTTTTGTTATAAATTAGTATATACATTTTTATATACAAGATATTTTTATAAAACACCCAGTAACCAAAATAGACGGGAAATGTTTAGTTATTTGCAGGTCGTTTTTGGGGTAGGGGGCGGAGGGGGAGGGGGCGTGGCGGGAAATGTTTAGTTATTGGCCCATCGTTTTTGGGGTGGCGGGCGGAGGGGGAGGGGGCGTGGCCCACCAAACCCCCCTCATTCGAAAGGGGTCAGTCGCCACTTTACGAAAAGCCCTAAAAAAAATTTACTAAAAATATTGTGAAATTAAGAAAAAAGCGACAGATAGAAATGTTGTAGTAATAGTAATATGATAGCTTTTAGCGCAGAACTTCATTTTGCGTAGGCGGCCTTCGGCCGCACTTAGGGATTATAACCCTCACTACGTAGAATTCTCTTCTGTGTTGCCAAAGAAAGGGCGATGAACACCTTTTGCAGAGAACCCCTTTTTGCGTAGGCGGCCTTCGGCCGCACTTAGGGATTATAACCCTCACTAC